AAACGATGATCGATTATCGGTCCCGTCGATCCGGACACGCCGGCAGAAACGCGATTTCGAATTTCCCGCGCGCAACGGGGGAGCCCCGCGCCGCTGCGTACTCGTCAATCCACTCTGACATCTAATCGACGTTTAATTTAATTAAATTTCTCAGACTCGCTCTCTCTCTCTCTCTCTTTTTCTCTCTCGCTCTCGCGCTCTCTCTCTTTCTCTCTTACTCGCTCACACCCATCCAGCCTCTCGAATAGACACGCTCAGCTCTGTGGAGTATCGTAACGAAGGGGCTCGCGGGAATTTTGTGGACACGAAGAACATGGCGTCGGTTCCCTGCTTCATCGATTCTTTTTATTCCTTTTCTTCTTTTCTTCTAATAATTCCGAGGAACCTCTTTCCCAGCGATTCAGAGACTACTTCCGATGGAAACGGGAAAAACAAAGTGGACCGAGGATGTCGGAAATCGTCGAAGTCGCGTTTCCCTAGGAGAAGTGTGTCTTTCGGAGAATAAAAATAGAATTGGAGCTTCGCTTTCGGCGAGTTTTCGAATCGTTTCGCGAACCGTACACACCAGCGATCACGCACGCCCGGTTTCCCGTTCACGAGCGACGCCGCGCGTCCTTGACATCGATCGACCATTCCGTCGAGAGATCCTTGGACGAAATTTCATCTCGCTCCCGAGATTCTACCCGGGAACCGATGAAACTTCGGCAACGACGCCGTCGGTTCCGCGTAGATGGTCAAGATCGAGCGTAATTCCGTCGGATTCCGATCGTTTCGCTCGCGACACGGTAGAATCGCGATTTTCCCGATATTCTATCGCGATCCGAGATAGCTGCTCGAATGAGCACTTCAGAGAAAATTCGACTGTAGAATCCGACTCTGATTGTCGGATATTCGTAGAAATTTTAAACGTATAGAACCTCCCACGGAATCAAAATTTGCCTTTCCGCGCAAATTTCCATCTTACAGAAAGAACCACTATATCAGCTTCGAAGTTGCGACAGTGAACCGGTTACAGGATAAAAATCAAATATAAAAGTTACGACGCACGAGTATCGAACTCAATTGTTCTACGAAGAGGAGTATTCTGTACTTCCTTGCGCGAGAACGCTGAAATTAACAGTGAAGATCCAACCGGCATCCTCTCGCGCGACAAAACAAGGTCCGACCGCATTAACAAATTCATTTTACGATTCGCTAACACCGCGATCGCGCGGTTCGTCGCGGAAGAAGGTGGCCGAACGAAATAGAAGAAAGCAAGAAAGGAACATCGGTCCCTCTCGATCGTGCTCGTTAACGTTCGCCTCTCCCGATTTCCCTCCCCCCGGCGTGTCGAGGTTCTGACTGGTCCGCGGTTTCTCCATTTATTACCGAGCCCTTTCGCCTCCCCCGAGCGCGTCGCGTCGAGTCGCGGCGCAGAAAGAGGGCAAGGAACGGGACGGGGGGAAAAATGGGAAAGACGAGAGGCGAGAGAGTACGCGGCGCAGCCCTCCCAATCGAATTCCGCCCTCCCCCTGTCCACGCTCGCCGCGGCTCAATTAACTATTTATACACAATATATTATATAATAAACTGTAATCGTGTACTCCGTCGTCCAAGTGTACGCATCTTCCTCCGTGTTTAGGTTCCTTTAATTATCGTTACGGTGTGGGGAGACGGGGCTGGGATAATAACGCTCTTCTTCACGCGCGCTTCCGTGTACGTTTGTGTATCCTCCTTCGTGTACCTCGTGTGCACGCGTGTGTATGCACGCTTTGTGAGTGTAGATGTGATAGTGTATCGGTGATTCAGGTGGGTTTCGGAGGGATCCGACGACGAAGAGCGTCCGATCCTCTCGCAGGTATCTATACTTTTGTATTTATATATTTATATATATTTATATATATATATATTTTTTCTTTATATATATA